ACCCCGCTGATCTGCGTAAGGGGTGGCGCCGAATTTCAGAAATGTGGCAAATCCCCTGTGTTTTTGGACCCTGACCCCGCGGATCTGCGTGAGGGGTGGCACCGAATTTCAGAAATGTGGCAAATCCCCTGTGTTTTTGGACCCTGACCCCGCGGATCTGCGTGAGGGGTGGCACCGAATTTCAGAAATGTGGCAAATCCCCTGTGTTTTTGGACCCTGACCCCGCGGATCTGCGTGAGGGGTGGCACCGAATTTCAGAAATGTGGCAAATCCCCTGTGTTTTTGGACCCTGACCCCGCGGATCTGCGTGAGGGGTGTCGATTTCGAGCCCCCCCAGCAATTCAGACAACGCGCCCAGGGAACGCTAAAAATCCCGTTTGGGCCTCCCCCCCCTCGCGCGGTCAATCAACTAATTACAGTAACCAGCAAGAAGTCAACTAGTTACAGTAACCAGCAAGAAGCTGAACTGTAACACTGGAATCTACAAACTACAACTGGTACAGGAAACTGCGAATCACGCGCCTCGCAGCCTGGTGGCCCCACAAGGGGGCCGGCGGATAACACTTTCGAGAGGAAAGGGAAAAATGAGATGAAACAAAACGGGTAAAGCGCACCCCCCCCCAAACAAAAAAAAAACACTCCGTGAAGTATCTCTACGGGGCCGCACTCGACTCATCACAGGTGCCCTGAAGTGGCCTGTGTGTCAAACCCGCTGGTGAGGTCGCAGCTGTGATCAGTCCAAATAGCAGCAACGATAATGTTTGCGAGCAAGGACCCCGAACAGTGACATTGTGCACTCTCGATGTGTGTGGTATCGAGTCATGTTGTGGAAGGCGTGTGGTGCCATCTATGTGGCGCAAGCTATGTGGTGGAAGCTACGCGGTGCCGTCCACCTTGCAGAGCTTGAAGTCGTCAACTCCAGCGTTCGCGCAAGCATCCCACCCGCCGAGCACGTTCAACAGAAACTGCGGTTCACGACAGGACCTTGCTTGCGCGTCTCCACGGCAGCGAAGGCGCGTGCGCGCCCGCGTGCGGACCGGCCAGCTGGGCTGAAGCAACCGATGCGGCATCGATGGCGCTTAACCGTGGGATCTTCCCAGCGCTTCTCAAATCAACGGCGGCAACGATGGTGATAGTACCAGCGGCGGTGGCGATGATGGCAATGACGACTGCAAAGCCAATGACGGCGCCGATGCTGGTGACAACGATGATGATGATGATTATGATGCTGATGATGCTGATGATGCTGATGATGCTGATGATGATGATGATCATAATGATGATGATGGTGGTGGTGATGATGATGATGATGACGATGGTGATGATGATGATTATGATGATGATGATGATGACGATGATGATGATGGTGAGGATGGTGGTGTCCGTGTGCGGGTGATGACGGCAAAGATGCTGATGGTGGCAATGGCGGCGCTTGACGATGACGGTAACGGTTAGAATGCGATGGCTCCAATGAGGGTGATGAGAAAGTTCGCGGGCGGCGGCGCGCGCATGTGGACCACATGCGAATGTTTGATGCGAATCCGTGCACTGGGGGTATGTGAGATCAACACGGATGCCCCGCGCTGGCCATCGTTCGGACGTCCATTCCCTGTGCTTGTTGTCGGTTTCGTGCGTGTTTTTTTCGCCAAATGATCAAGGATGCTCCTCGATGGTCCTCGCCGAGGGAAAAAAAGCACACGTCCGAGCGATGCCAAGCGCGTGGTGGGATGAGAACGCAACATTTGGAGATTTCTAAGACCCTATGGGTGTCCTACAATTGCGGCAAGTGCGCGCGGGAAACTATCGTGAGAGGCATTTTGCGCTGAAACGCGTGCAGGACTAATGATTTGAGATGGTTTCGACATGTGCGCGCGCGCTTGGCCCTAGTAGGGAAACGAACTCTATACACCGATGCTTTTCCCGCCCCTGCGCTAAAATTCGCACAGGAACGCGGATTCTGGTGTATACAAGATCCTGATGTGTACATGTTTCGCTGTTTTCCGGGGACATCGAAGAAAAAAGTATACACCACACCACCCCAGCGTGGTCCCCGACCCTCAAAAAGTCCTGGGATTCAAGAAATAGCCCGCCACTGGTAATGTATACGTTCCAGTTTCCGACTTAGTGCTCTGCTGCAAGACAAGACATGCTGGAAAAACTATATGTTGATGTTAACGAGTGCGAGTGCATGATATTATTTGAGAGTGGTGACGGGGGAAGGGCGATACTGGTTGGAATGGAACTGCATGTATCCAGGAAGCGAACGATGATGAAAAACTAGATGCAAATCGTACGATACCACAAGGGGTCGCGAGAAGTCCGGGCAAGAAGTGTGGTGGCCTCGCTTCTTCTTTCCAAAGGCGAGAGCGTGCCGTGCAAACCGTGCGGTGCAAGGCTGCACGGTGCAAGGTGGGGCGAATGACGTGTGTCGTGCAAGCCATTTAGGGTTAGGTCGGGCATGTCCCCCTGCAGGCAGAGTTTGGAGGCAAGCTCCAAACTGGCAAAAATATGTTCACAAACTGGCCAAAAATGCTCACGAAATCGTCCCCCAGAGCATTTTTTTACTGTTTCTGCATTTGCCTCCTGTACAGTGCCGTCTTGATTACATGCTCCGCGTGCGGATCATGTATCAAAACGCAGGGAATTAGTATTAAAAACAAAGATGAGTTCATGCATACACTCATGCATAAATTGACCATGTACTGCAAGTCCTATATTATGAAAATTCCAATGCATTAAAAACTGCCCTGTAGAGGGACAGGCCCGACTTAAATTTGGCGGTGGACAAACCTACCTGTAGTAAACCTCCCCTTGGTGAAAACGGCCTGCGATCGAAACCCACGGACCTGGACCCGCAAAAATGACGGCCGCGACGCCCTCTCGCGAACCGAAAACGGCCAATTCCTTAATCGACGTGTCAGGGTAGGAGGTCAATCCACCTCCGAAATTTGCCTCCTGTAGAGGGACAGGCCCGATTCCAATTTGGGGCAGCCTGCGCGGCGCAGGCCGCGTGGTGGACGCCGTGCGGCGCGGACGGTGCGCTGCCGTCCCACGCCGCGCGCGCGTTAGGCGCCCCCGCGGCGGCCGCGCAGCGCCCCTCCGCGGCGAGGGCCCGCGGCGGCCACGGGCGGCCGGCGAGCCTCCGCGGCAAACGCCATCAACACAAAAAAAAAACGCGCCGGCGCGCGCGGAGCGCCCGCAAGGCGGCCACGAGCGGCGCCCTCCGGCGAGAAACAGAAACCCTCTGAGGGGGCCACGTGCGAATCCCACCCCTGCCCCCCACGACTTCTGAGGGGGAGGGTGGGGCTCGCTTCGCTCGGGAGCTCCCGAGCGGAGGGAACCCCACCCTCCCCCTCAGAAATCGTGGGGGGTAGGGGTAGGGCTCGCACGTGGCCCCCTGGAGAAGCAGAAACCCTCTGCTCGGCGCCGCCTCTGCGCGGTGCCAGCGCTGAACCGACAGCTGCTGCGGCGACCACCGCGCTGCCAGGGGAGCCCCGCCGCAGGAGTCGTGCGGCCGGTCGCGCCAGGGGATTGGAGGCCTGGAAATTGGCACCAACACCAGCACAAGAGGTTGCCTCCACATGGGGAAACTGATCCTAGATTTCGGTGTTGGCGGTCAAATTCTGGCCACCTTGGAAACCAAAAGATTACAACCATCACCGAGATTGGGATCGTCCTCCTTCGGTGGAGGCACACCGCCGATCCTGGTGTTGGTGTCAACCTCTAGGCCTGCCAGGGGAGCCCCCTCTCCGCAAACGGCAACGCTCTGGCACGCCAGCACCGATGACTCTGTCGGTGCCCCAGCGGGGCTCGCTCGGGCCCACGCGGCGGCCACGGGGCGAAAGCCCGGGCACGGCGAGACCGCAGAGCTCTCGAGCCGTGACTGCGCCGCCTTTTTTTCCGCTGGGCTCCAGGACGTGTCCAGCGGCCTCTGGAGGCGAGCCCACTTTGAAGGGGGCTGGAAGGCCCAGCCAACAGCTTCGCCTCAGGCGAAGCCAAGCTCCAGCTCTGCTGTATCCTAGGAGCGATAGTCCCAGTAGGAAAGGTAATGCTATCTCAAGCAATAAAAAGACCCTTTTGGTCTCGATAACGATTGTGTGCCTCGCGGTGAGGCACAGTCAAATCTGGGCGGCCTGCCGCTTGAGCCAACGCGGCCGCGGGCGCACGCTCGCTTCCACTCCTTACGTCCCTCAGCTCGCTTTAGAATAGCCCCTGCGGCTGCGGTGCGCAGCACGTTCACGCAAGGATGCATGTTACGCAGAGTTGCACACCTGCAGAGAGAGCACGGGGCGCCCAGGAGGGCGCCCGCGGGCCGAAAGCCCAGAAGTCGCAGCCAAATCAGAAGCCCAGGAAGCCAGAGTCCCAGGCCAAATCAAGAGCCAATCCGGGGCCCAAGCCCAGGAATCCCCCCCCAAAAAAGAAACCGACATCCCAGAAGCCAACTGGGAACCCCAGAATGCAATCATTTCCCCGGGATTACTGAAAGCTCGACGCTTCGTCGGATTTATCGACAATGCAACCAGAGCATAGATATACAGCAGACAGACGTTGACAGGCAACTAAATGTCCAGAGTGAGCAAGACCCAATAATAATCCTGTAAGAAGTTGGAAGAAAGAGACTTGACAAAACTGTGGGTCGACAGATATGACAGCCAAACTGGCAACGAGCGGGCTCCATTAAGTAGAGCGCAAGGCGTTGATGTGTCAGACTTGTTCAAGACTGAAGGCAAACTATGCACATCTGTTTCCAGCCAGCGCCGAATGGAACCACGAACTCCGAGACAGCAGCGAGCTATTCAAAACCGCGAGAGGAGCCAAGCACCGTGAGGCGGCTGCGAGTGACTGGAAAGCTACAGCGTCGTCTAAGCGATCTAAAAGCATACTAATACCTGTTGCCGAACAGCGATCAGCGATGCAGTTGGCCAACCGCGGCTGTGGCAGAGGAAGCAACCATCCTGCAAACGCACGCAAGTCTCACTTGCCCGCATGGAGGTAAACAATCAATCCGCCTTGAAAATCTGATTCTGCGGAACAATACAATCGTGTAAGGCGCCTAGCAGACCAAAGGCGTTGATGACAGTGCTGCCTGCCATGATCTTCGTAGGCATCCAGAAAGTCTCCTCGTCCTTGGACCAGCCCGGCACTTTTCCCCCTGCCTGCTCTACCATGTAGTAGTGGTGGTAGATGCCGCTGGCTGTGTAGATGCTCATGACAAGGAGAACCAGGAATCTCTCCCTTGCACCGAATGCAAGTGCAGCCAGAGCCTGTATGGAAGCCGCGACCATGTGCATGCAGCCTAGGTGAGGCAATATCGCCTGCATAGCGGCACCAGACGCTTCGAGAGCAGCCCTGCCTTCCGGGGACATCGTGCCGAGCGTCACCTCCCCGTCCAACCACGCGCCGTAACCCTGCGCGAAACTACCGACCGCCCCGAAGAGAAGCACTCCGGCAACGAGCATCGCGGCGCTCCGCTCGAAGAACGACAGAGGCGCGGACGAACTGAGTGAGGCGAAGATGCCGCGCACCCTGGACCGCTTGAGCCAAAATGGCTACGGGAAAGGCAAACTATGCACAAATGGTACGTGTCACTTTCGACTTAATGCAGAAGATTGCCTCGACACAACAAACGGCGTCCTGAGCAGGCAAGCTACAGCCTCACTTGTTTCATTTTGGGCAGATATCTGCGATGCCGTTGAAGCAATTGCTGAAGCGACTGAAAAGCCACGAGAATGTGCCATTGGGACAGGCCTACACTTAGCATGCCATTAATCTAAAAGCCTTCCGAAGGATCGGTCAAAGAGCTCGTTCGCCACAATACCCGAGCGGTAGAATCAGAATATTCAACAGAATTCAGAATTCCAGCTCGAGTAAAACAATAGATGAGGCCTGGGCTGTCTATATGGTATACATACACATACATACAAATATGTGTATATATGTACCAGAACCACGCGCGCCCCCCGCGCGCGCGCTTAGGTTCTAGCAGGCTCTAGTTGTAGTCTAGAGTGTTAGGCATCGGAGGACATGTATTGTCACACGGATCGTGCCCCTAGGGAGCTCCACCCACCTGCGGCTCCAGAGACAAGCTTTTCTTAACAGTCTTAACACCTCCCTGCCCATGTCGGCACACCCCTCACTGGGATCGCGCTCCACAGGGAGCTCGAAAAAGACAAAGTTCGCGTAGTGGCACGCGCCTCACGCTGATCGTGCCCAGCAAGCAACTGCACTTGCGGCACCAGAGGGAAGCTGCATGGCGTCGCTCCGCTCACTTCGGCACACCTCTCACACGGATCGTGGCCCGCAAAGGACGGCCCCAAAGGCAGGGGTCGCATCCCGTCCTCCCGCCTACTTCGGCACATTTCTCACACGCATCGTGGCCCGCAAGGATCTTCACCTACGGCCCCAGTGGCAGGATTCGCACTGTGACACCTCTTGGCCATTGCGGCAAACCCCATCAGGCGGATCGTGCCCACAAGGAGCACCACCGAAATGCCCACAGACAAGGTACATACAGCGCCCCCCGCCCATGTCGGCACACCCGTCACGCGAATCATGCCCCAGGAGGAGCTCTACCTATGGCACCAGTGGGCAGCTTCGCACGGCGTCCCCCCCCCCATTTCGGAACATGCCTCGCACGGGTCGTGCCCGGAGGAGCTATACCTGCAGCCTGTGTGCGTGTTCGCGCGGGGGCATCCTGATTATTCGGCACGCCCTTCACGCGGTTCGCGCCCCACAAAGAGTTCAGCAGCAGTCATTTTTCCGCATTGCCCCGCGGCGCGCAGTGTATGAAGAGAGTCCCGCGCCGTGCGCTACACATGACTGCATAGGGATGGGTCCGTCGCCAAGCCAATTGCTTTCTTATCTATGGCCTTCGGCCCATGCTGCTACTGTGCCTGAGTTTTGGGCCAGAGGATTCTCGGATACCTGAAATTCGGATTCTCTTGGCATGCTTCTCGGGCGTCTCGTGGAGCGAGTTTTGAAGCTTCTTGTGGCCTCACGTGGGCCCAATGGGGGCCTCTTGGGGCCTCTTTGGGGGCCCTTCCTCGGGGCCTCCTGGGTACCTGCTGCGGCCTCAGGAGCCCACTCGTGGCGGAGGGCTCGAAATGTGCAGAGATCCCCTTCTTGGAATCCTCTTGGGGCCCTCTTGGACCGTCTTGAGGCTCTCTTGGCCGTCCTGGGGCCCTCCTGGAGGCCTCCTGGGCCGTCTTGGGGCGATCTGTGAAGCCTCTTGGCCCGATTTAGACGCTGCCAAGACCCAAAATGCGAACATGCTACATCTGTTCGTTCCCCTTAGGGAATGAAACACTTGTTTTGTTTCCTTCGAGCCGCTGCAAAATTCGGCTTCCAGCGATCGCCAGACATGCCCTCGACCACGGCTCGGACCGTGGCGCTGCGGGTAGACTCGCTTGGCTCCAGCCTCGCCTGCAGCATCTTGCCGAACACCGCGAGCGCCTGCCGCCATGCCCTGCCCCTCCCGCAGCCGCCGATTGCGGCATTGTAGCTGCCGAAGTCGGGCTCCAACTTCATCTCCAACAAACCCCAGAACAACAACAAGACTTCCTGCCACTGCCCACATGCATCACAAACTGCGATCCCGGCGGTGTGCATCAATTTGTCTGGCACCAGCTTCACCTCATCCATTCCGCTGAGCAACGACAGTGCTTGCTGCCACTGCCGTGCTTTCTCGCAAGCAACGAGCCCGGCGGTGTAGAACCTTATATCAAGCTCCAGTTTTGCCTCACCAATCTCGCTGAGCAACGATAGGGCCCGCTGCCACTGATTTCCTCTCCCGCACGCGCTGATTCCAGCGGTGTAGCTGACGACGCTGGGCTCCAACTGCGCCTGCCGCATCTCGCTGAACAGCGACAGGGCCCGCTGCCACTGCTTGCCTTTCTCGCACGCGCTGATCCCAGCGTTGTAGATGATGTAATCAGGCTCCAGCTTTGCCTCACCCATCTCTCTGAGCAGCGACAGTGCCTGCTGCCACTGCCGTCCTTTCTCGCACGCGCTGATCCCAGCACTGTAGATGATAGTATCGGGCTCCAGCTTCGCCTCCTGCATCTCGTTGAGCAGCGACAGTGCTTGCTGCCACTGCCTGCTCTTTTCGCACGCGCTGATCCCAGCGCTGTAGCTGATGACGGTGGGCTCCAAGTTCACTGCCCCCATCTCGCCGAGCAGCGATATGGCCCGCTGCCACTGGCTTCCTTTCTCGCAGGCGCTGATCCCAGCTGCGTAAATGATGGTATCAGGTTCCAGCTTACCCTGACACATCTCGCGGAACAGCGACAAGGCCCGCTGCCACTGCTTTCCCCTTTCGCAAGCGCTCATCCCAACGCTGTAGCTCACGACGGTGGCCTCCAATTCCATTGCAGCCAGATCGCAGAGAAGCGACAACGCCCACTGCCACTGCTGACCCTGTCCGCACGCTCTGGCAGTCGCAACGTAGCGGCCCGGGTAGATGCGCGCTTGCTCGTGGAGCGATTGCAGGGCAACGCACCACTTATCTGCGCTCACAAACTTACTCCTGGCCGCTTCGAGGTGAGAAACACCTGGTCGGAATCCCCGCAGGATCTCTAGCATCCGAAGCGATCCTGTGCCCAAATTGGCCTAGAATTAATCATCAAGCTAGAGACGTCAACAAATATGTCTTGCCTCCCAGCCGAACTAGACTTGAGCCAAAATGGCTACGGCTAGGGAATGAAACAATCTTGGCCCCCTAGCCGGGACCCTTCGGGGCGCATCTTGGAGTCTCCTTGAGCCGTCTTGAAACAATATTCGGGCGCCGTCGGTCCTGTCAAGCCGCTCTGGTCGCTTTTTGGTGGCCTCCGGAGCTGATTTGAGCGGCGGGGGGGAGGCCCGGGAGGCCCCGGGAGGAGTCAAACTGTCGGGCGGGGGAGGGGGAAATCCGGGAGGGTGACCCGGCCTGGGCCCTGGGCTCAAGTCGGGCCTGTCCCTCCACAGGGGGGATATTCAAAAATACCTTAAAAATAGCCTGGGTACCATTTTTTGTGTCCAGAATCCCCCTGTAGGGGGACAGGCCTGACCCCAGCATAATCTGTATTTGCAATCACCCTCCCTAACATCCACAATCACCCTTCCTCCGAAGGCTCTTCCCTCCTGCTCCCTGCGCGCCTCCTACGGACGTGGAGGGGGGAAACAAACAACAACAAAAAAAATGAGGAAGGGTTTCGCGCAATATCGCTGATGCGCATTAGGATTTCACTGATTCTCCTCCTCCTCCTCCTCCTCCTCCTCCTCCTCCTCCTCCTCATCCTCCTCCTCCTCCTCCTCCTCCGCCTCCGCCCGACGAGGGCTCTCCAGGACGTGACGCGGCATCGGTCTATCTTCCTCCTCTGATCCTCAGCCCTCCTGCTCAGAGAAGCCCGCAGCTCCGACGTCGTGAGATTTCTTCGCAAGCTGGTCCGCCAAAGATCTGCAACTGTCATTGGGGCTGGCCTTCCATCCAAGGTCGTTCTTGACGGTCCCTGGGCCTTGCGAGGGCCCGCAGACACAGACGATTGTCGGAAACCTGCCGACGCGACTTCGTCTCGCGACGCGAGAAGAGGTGCGGGTCCTGCCTTCCGAGAGAGCGGGTCGGCTGCGAGCCCAGGGCGGAGGCGAGCGGCGACGCGGGCCGCATCCGAGGGCGGCGAGGCTTATCAGAGGCCCTCGTGGCCTCTGAAAGGCCGTCTCCGCTGTCGGGGAAGGCTTGAAAGACGCCTCGGAAGGCCCGAGACTCCTCAACCTCCTCCTCCTCCTCCTCCCCTTCCTCCTCCTCCTCCTCCTCCTCCTCCTCCGCCTCCTGTCTCCTCCTCCTTCTCCTCCTCCTCCTCCTCCTCCTCCTCCTCCTCCTCCTCCTCCTCCTCCTCCCCCTCCTCCTACTCCTCCTCCTCCTCCTCCTCCTCCTCTCCTCCCTCCTCCTCCTCCTCCTCCCTCCTCCTCGTCCTCCTCGTCCTCCTCCTCCTCCTCCTGCTACCTCCCTCCCTTCTCCTCTCCTCCT